CCAAATGTATGTAGCTCTCTATGAAACCTTATTCTTCCTTACGCATTCATGATTTCTTCTTGAATGGCATTTCAAATGTCAGGCCTAAGAGGCCCCAAATACACTTGTTATCCCTTCACGTACTCAAGATCCCAGACAAGTTAGGCATATACCCTATTGCATTTGGTTCCTGCCCCACCCCTCTATTAGACTGAATTTCATGTGCTAGTTGATAATTATATACAATACCATTATTTTACCTTTGTTGATTTCAAATGCAATATATTGTTTTATATAGTTGTTAGTATTTTCTTTTCAATTTTTTTCAACTTTGTATTTTGAGAAAGTTTTAAACATCCAGAAATTGAACAAGAATAAACACAATATTTTTATCCTTTCACACCTAGATTCAACAATTAACATGTTGCATATTTTACTTTCTCTCTGTATCTATCTATTGCTAGATAATTTGAAAGCAACTTGTAAATATGATCCTTTACCCCTATTCCAACATGTTATCTCCTAAGAACAAGGACATTCACTTATATAGCCACTATATAATTATCACATTGATGGTTTATTATTCTTATTATAATATTCAAAAATTTCTCTTGTCCAAGAAATAGCCTTTTTAATACATTTCCTCCCCCCACCTCCAAATTCAGGATCATTCACTGTATTTGGAAGTCAGTCTCTTTAGTCTTCTTTAATCTGGAACAATTCTTCAGCTTCTTTGCCTTTCATACATTGTTATTTTTTAGTACAGGCTATTTGTTTTACATATGTCTCCCAATTTGCATTTATTTGATGATTTCCGAATGGTTAGGTTCAAGTTATGCATTTTTGACAGGAGTGTTTCCTTTTTAAATAAAGAGGAGAAACCAAAAAATATAATAAACTCAACTTTATTAATTTGAAAGTAGTATTTGGATATTTATTTGATGAGGGAAAAAAGGTCATCTTCAAGTTCCAAATCTAACAAACAAGTATACTTACATTTTAAAATATGATCAGAGAGATCTTTTTAAAATTTCACTAAATTGTATTTGATTCTTAGAAAGCCATTTTTTTTACTATTTTTCTAATTGTTATATAAACAACATTTGAGTAACTACGTTTAGGATACTACAGAAGGCCTAGGGTTCTGTTCTGTTACAGATTAAACATGCTGTTCAATCACAAATATTGATAAACCAGGTTTAAGATGGTATCTTTAGAAATCTGCCAATAATTAGGGCTTGATGGGGATAGAACTGTGAACTCATAAAAGATAGCAAAGTGCATAAATATTAAAGAAAGAATACATGCTAAAAAGCAGTTAAGTGCTTTCATTCACAGCTGTGGAGTCTGTTCTGCTCGCAGTGCTGCTAGAGGATCTTCAGTAGATTACTGTTCTCCAACAAGCACTGGGCTTTCATGCCTTCACTGTCTTCCTCGTGACAGGCAGCCGTTCCCTTCTGTCATCCTGGTCAACTCTGCTTTTCAAATTCCTGCCCATCATTCAAAGCCCAACCCTGACCTAGGCCCCCTCTCTTCAGAACCTTTCCAAGCCCTCCCACCATGCTGCATGCTCATCTGTCTTAACAGATTGGGCATCTGTAATAAAAAGTACCGAATCTTAATTGGACATCTCTCTTTTTTTGTATTGCGGTAAAATATACGTAACGTAAAAATTTACCATTTTAACCACTGTTAACTATACAGTTTGGTGTATTAATTATATTCATAATGTTCTGTTGTCTCCACCATCCGTCTCCAGAACTTTTCATCTTGTAAAACTGAAACTCCATGGCAACCACCATTCTACTTTCTGCCTCTAGGATACTGACTAGTCTAAGTACCTCACATAAGTAGGATCATACAGTATCTGTGACTGACTTATTACACTTATTGTAAAGTCCTCAAGGTTCAGCAGGTTGTACCATATTACAGAGGGTCCTCCTTTTTAATGCTAACTAATATTCTAGGGTATGAATATACCAAACCACATTTTGCTTATCCATTCATCCATTGATGGACACTTGTTTCCTTTTAGCTGTTGTGCACAATGCTATCATGAATATAGGTGCACAAATAATCTCTTCAAGACCCTGCTTTCAGTTCTTTTGGGTCTGTACCCAGAAGGTGGTTTGCTGGGTCACATGCCAAACTTTTCCACAAGAGCTATACCATTGTACATCCCTACCAACAGTGCATAAGAGTTCTGGTTTCTCCACATCCTCACCAACAATTGTAATTTTCTGTCTTTTGTAGGGGGGTTTTGACATTAACCATCTTATTGGGTATGAGGCAGTATCTCATTGTAGTTGTGATTTCCATTTCCCTGTTAGTGATGGTGAGCATCTTTTCATGTTCTTTTTTTTTTTTTTAATCTTCACCTGAGGACATTTTTGCATTTATTTTCAGATAGAGAGGGAGGGAGAGAGGAAGAAAGCGAGAAAGAGAGAGAAACAGTGAGGTGAGAGAGACACATCGACTGGTTGCCACCCACACGACCCCAGACGAACTGCAACCTAGATACATGCCCTTAGCGGGAACCAAACCGGGGACTCTCTGGTTTGCGGGCCAGTGCTCTAAAAACTGGCCAGGGCTCTCTTCATGTTCTTATTGGCCATTCATAATCTTTGGATTAACTTCCTTGGTTAATTTCTGAGTATTTTATTATAATACGTATGCTACTTTAAATGAAATTGTTTTCTTAATTTCCTTTGCAGGTTGTTCATTGTTACTATATAGAAATGCAGCTAATTTTTGCATGTTGACTTTGTATCCAACTACTTTGCTGAATTCATTTATTTGAGTTTTCTACCTGGAAGATCGTAGTATCTGTGAAGAGAGATCATTTTATTTCATCCTTTCCACTTTGTATGCCTTTTATTTCTTTTTTGCTAGAACTTCCAGTACTATGTTGAATAGAAGTGGCAAAAGTGGGCACCCTTGCCTTATTCCTGATTTTAGAGGAAACGCTCTCTCCATTGAGTCTGATATTCACTATGGGTTTTTCATACACGGCTTTTATTTTGTTTCCTTCCTTTCCTAGTTTCTTGAGTGTTTTCATCAAGAAAGGGTGTTGCATTTTGTAAATGCTTTCCCCACATAAAATGAGATAATCTGTAATATCTCATTTTTCCTTTATTCTGTAATGTGGTGTATATCAATCAATTTTCATATGTTGAATCATCCTTTTATTCTAGGAATAAATCCCACTTGGTCACAATGTATAATCCTTTTAATGTACCACAGAATTCGGTTTGCTTGTATTTTGTTGATGATTTTTGCATCAATGTCCAAGAGTGAAATTGGTCTGTAGTTTCCTTGTGGTGTGTTTGCCTGGCTTTGGTATCTGAATAATGCTGGCCTCCTAGAATGAGTTAGAAAGTGTTCCCTCCTCTTCAATTTTTTGGAAATAATTTGAGAAAGATCGGTATGAGTTCTTCTTTAAATATTACAATAGCATAAATAGAATTTGGGAGTGAAGTCATTGAGTCCCAGGCTTTTCTTTGTTTAGAGTTTTTTCTTTCATGATTCATTTTCTTCAGTCATCATTTAGATATTCAGTTTCTTCATATTTAGTCTTGGTAGGTTTTATGTTTCTAGGAATTTATCCATTTCAGCTAGGATATACAATTTGGTGGCATACAGTTATTCATAGTACTCTCTTATACTGCTTATTTATGTAGAATCAGTAGTAATGTCCCCGACTTTCATTTCTGATTTTATAATTTGAAAAAACATTTGGTTTCATTGGTTTTTCCTCTGTTGCTTTTCTAGTGTCTATTTTATCTCTGCTCTAATTTTTATTATGTCCTTCCTTCTGCTAACTATGGATTTAGTTTTTCTTTTTCTAGTTCCTTAAGATGCAGTTAGGTTGTTGATTTGAAGTCTTTCTTGTTTTCTGTGGTTTTTTTTTAATGCGTTTACAGCTATATATTTCTCCATTAGCACTGATTTTGCAGCATCCCGTAAGTTTTGATATGTTGTGGTTTTGATTACATTCATCTCTAAGTATTTTCTAATTTCTCTTGTGATTTATTTGATCCATTTGTTAAGAGTGTATTGTTTAAGTTCCATAGACGTGTGAATTTTCCCGTTATTTTCCTGATAATTGATTTCTAACTGCAACCCACTGTGATCAGAGAAGATACTTTGTATAATATCGATCTTTTACAAATCTATTGAGAGTCCATTTGTAGCTAACACATGGACTGTTCTGGAAAATGTCCCATGTATAGTTGAGAACACGTATGCTGCTGTTGACTGGAATGTTCTATATATGTTGGTAAATCTAGTTGTTTTAATTTTGTGTTCAAGTCTTCTATTTTCTTATCTTCTGTCTGGTTATTCTATCTATTATGAGAGTTGAGTTTTGAAGTTTCCAACTATTATTTATATACATATATGCACAACCAATAGACAAAGACATTAGTTTGGGGAAAGCAGCGGGGAGGAGGGAGTGGGGAGGAGGGGGTCATTGGGGAAACAAGGGGAGACATCTATAATACTTTCAACAACAACAAAAAAATTTAAAAAGAAGTTTCTAACTATTAGTGCAGAACTATTTCTCCCTTCAGTTCTGTCAGGTTTTGCTTCATATATTTTGATGATGTGTTATTAATTGGTAAATATTTATAATTGTTTGGCCATCTTTATTTTTGGAGAAGATCTAACAGTGTTTGGACTTCAGTAATTATTTCTTTAATCTATTAATAATTCATTTAAAATTCTGATAGCAAGAATGATAGAAAGGGCTAAGTAGAAAAGTTCTATTATTGTCTGAAAGGTGATGAAACATAAAATCTTATAAATTCCTCTTTTAAAAGACTTTCAAAGAATCTGTAGAACCTGTGACCTGTCCCAGAGAAAATCTAAACATTGAGAGGTAGAAGTGTTTTACTTTGTATTTTGGCATCACCAGCATGACATTCTACTGACATGAACGTTGCCATAAAGTTAGTTGAAATTCCTGCTGTATTCACTTGTTTTCTTTTCTTTTTTCCCCCTCAAGCAATCAAGTTGAAGAAACGTTTCCACTACTACATTTATTCAGCTGTTTTTCCAATGGGATTTTCTCTTAGTAAATCTGCTACTCAGGTATCTGCTATATGTATGGATTCAAAAGTGGATGATCACTTAATGCGAGGGACTGAGACAAGCAAGTTGGAACCAGTGACTCGGTTATTTCAAAGCACCAAGAAAATAAGGTTAGAAGACACCAACCAAGAAAACTTTACAAGAAGTAAAGAGACTGGCACAGGATCTCTTTCAGAGAAAGCCTTGGGTTCAGTGGTTTATGTTAAAGAAAGTGATGGAATAGAAATGACAGATGTGGAATGAAGTTATTTGTACATATTATCACAGAAACCAAAAATTGCTTTTGACTAAGAAGTCACATTGAATGAGAAGTTAACCTCCTTAAGAAAACTTAACAAAATGAAGGAAGATGATTGCTTTTTTTCACTGTTTATGAATCACCTTACACAGTATTTTTTATGACACATACTCAAAATGCTTTAGGAAGAAAAAAACTTTCCAAAATTCAAAGCAGATTTCTCTTGTATTACATTCTATCCTTGTCAAAATCAGAGTTTCTAAGTAACAGTATTTAAATGGCCCCGAAACATATCAATTATAAAGTATTTAACAAGTGATCAAAAAACAGTGCCCAAACAATTTGACATCTGTATGTCACACTATTTCTGGTGTTCCAATTTTGTATGTTAGATTTCCAGTTTGGGGTTTTGCTTGAGGGGACTTTATCTTCCTGTATTTTTTGCATTTCTGTTCTGTAAATATTCACTGCAGATAAACTATGCAAAAGATCAGTAAATTGCATACTTTGAAAAGCATTTAGCATTTTATATCATCCTTTAAAAACTGGTACTTTTTCCTCCACATTGAATTAATTTCAGAGTTACAGAATAGTTATTTCAAAGTGTAATAGTTTATCTTACAAATGCTACCATTTTATACCGATAGTTAATATAAGAAAACTGCCTTAAAAAGTCTTGCTTTATATGTATCATTTTGCCATTCTTAATGACATATGTAGTAGTTTGAAACAGCAGTATTGTCTCAAGTAATGTTAGATGAAATTAAAACCATTTTGTGTCTGGACATATAGTGAGCTGTAACTATATTATGTATGTTTTGAGCATTTTCCTATATTTTAATATTTAATGACTCCCTAATGCCCAATTGAGTAATCCCCTTCATAGTCACAAAAACAAAAAGGAAAAGGCATCTTCTTTTAGGGGAAGCAATATTTTATAAATCAAACAGTACTAAATAAATGTAATATATTTGTAGGGAATACTGAGCCAAGAGTTTTTTTAAATGTTATTGAATGGGAGAGCCAATAAGACAATGCTTTTTGTCATTTACAGAACATAGTTCTTTGGGAGAGATAACGTACACAAACCATTCATTCACTCACCTAGGCTGGCACTGTACTTGGTGCTGGGGATATAGTGGTGAGTAAAATAGCTATTGCCCTTAAATGCTTACTGTCTGGTTACCAGGGAAGATGAAACATCAGATAGTAATTATATAAGATACAAACTGTGGTGGTCCATGAAAAAAAAGTAAAATGTTCAGAGAGACAAGAGGAGCTATCACACATAAACTTGATTCTTAATAATGGGAACTAGAAAGGCTTCTCTGAAGATATGACATTTATAGCTTTTGCAGTGATGTAGGTGTTCAATTGAGATGATGGTGATGATTGAGGTGTTAAGAAGGGGATAGAGTCCAGGTGAAGTTTGGCAGAAAGCAGTGATAGTTTGAAAGTAGGAAGTGAGGAAAAAGAAAGGGTTTCTAGCAAAAAAAGCTATATGCATGGAGGTTCCTAGGGGGAAAGGGTGTGCTTAGGGGCACGGTTTTTGGACATACTAGGTTTCCAAGGCAAGTAGACAATTGTATGTATGGAACTAAAAATATAAATTTTGAATATATAAATGCTTAAGGTGAATGGCTAGTTTGAGATCAAGTGCTGAGAAACTCCAACATTTAGGAGCTAGTGAGCACAGGGGGAGCTGGCAAAGGGGATTGAGAGTTGGCAGTGAGATCGGTGGAAAACCAAGACGGGGTAATGTCAAGGTTGCCCATAGGAGTCTTTAAAGTGGAGGTAGTCAACTGAAAGGTTAGATGAGGACTGAAAGGTCCACTGGATCTAAAAACATGTCACCAGTGACCTTGGCAGAACCACTTTTAAAAAACACAGGGACTTGGCTCGGGTATTTACAGACTGGTTTTTCACATCCACATTATGTCCAACAGCACATTAGATACTTGTGTTGGATGTTGGATTTGGGATGATCTTTCATTGTGTGATGCCCCATGCCCTGCAGGATGTCAGATGTTGTAGCACATCCCAGTCATCGAGACAACTAAAATGCGAACATTAATTAACCTCAGTGGTTACTGAGGCTAAGACAGCAGAAAATTAGGATCCCCAAATCCCATCAAAGCCATAAACTAGGCAGCATACCTGGGAAGGGAAATTCCCAAAGACTTCCTGAAAGGGATGGAATGGAACAAATTTAATCAGAACAATAGCCTCACACAGGTGTTTATTGTTTTCGTTTTTTTTGGGGGGGGGGGGTGGATTCTACAAGTGGAATCCATAAGTGAGCACTTTTTGCAGTTCTGTTGTTTCTGATAAAGTAAATTTTCCACATAAAAATAATGTAGCACAGCAGAAATAAGGATGGTAGGAGACTTTAAATTCAACATATCCATAAAATAAGTGTCTAGACCTACGGTCTCTGCATTATTGTTGTATCTAATGGTGTTGTCACTGATGCTAATAATAATAGCTATAATTTACTGAACTGGTATGTGACTGTCTTAGCTGAGATTGCCTAGAAGCTGCCTGAGACAGGGATTCAGGTGCAAATGATTTGGGGGGAAAGCCTGTACAGGGGTGAGGAAAGCAAGATAGGGAAGCAGAAGTCAACTAAGGATGAGGATTCAGATCCACAGGGTGCTCTGGAGGGTTGAGACAGCAAAGTTATCCCACTGACCCATTTTGAGGCAAGGGGACTATTGTACCCTCATACCAGTTAGGCGTTGGTTGCCCACCACCAAGCCAAAGGGGGCAGGAAAGTATCATGAATCACTCAGGTGTCTCTGGGCAGGACAGCTCCTACACTCACAGCAGCTGAAAAATGGATGCATGGATTAAGAGTAAAGGGAGCCTGGGTGGGGGCACTAACAGTCTTTATTACAATGCCAGACACCCAACATATATTATTTTCCTTTTATTTGGAAACAATTTCAAATTTAAAGAACAGTTGCAAGTATAGTATTAAGACTGTTCTGTCTCCCCACCTCTAACCATTTGAGAGTAATTTATTTTTATTTTTAATTGAGATATAATTGACATATGACATTGTGTTTATGACATATACATGACATGATTTTATGTAAGTACACATTGCAAAATGATTACAGTAAGTTTAGTTAACATTCTTCACAACACATCGTTACCAATTCTTATGAGAACTTTTAAGATCTACTCTCTTAGCAACTTTCAAATATACACTACAGTATTGTTAACGATAGTCACTATGCTGTCTGTGCGTTACATCCCCACGACATAACTATCTTATAACTGGAAATCTATACTTTCAGCCACCCCTCAAAAAGCACTTCTGATGGAATAATGGCTAAAGAAGCCTCCATGCTGGAGTAGGTTGAAAAATGAATGGGAAGTGAGGAAGTGGACACTGGATGTGTAGCAACTCCTTGAATAAGCCAGGCTCTGAAAGGAAGGAGACAGGATAAAAGGTGGAAAGAGAACTGAGGTTACTGGAGAACTGTAAAGATAAGACGGAATTCATGTCTTAGTGTCAGTAAAAGAAGATTCCACCAGAAAAAATAACCAAAGGAGAGAGTTTCAGAGCAGGGAGGAGGGACTAGGATTCTTGAAAACCACCTCAGTAGGAAATTAGGGGGGAAAACACTGTACCATCTCAAATTTCAGAGAATGGGAATTTAGAAAGATGTAATATAAGCAGAGGGCCAATAGTACTGTGTGGCTATTTTTAATAACTAGGAAAATTCGTACTGGGACTAACTCTCTACATAATCCATTCCCATCTGTATAATACAAGGAAGACTAACTCGGAGTGACTTCAATCAAAAGGGTAATAAATAAATGAGGGGCCACTGTGTCCTTATTGTAGCTTTATATGGAGCCCTGGTCATTTACCATGTCAGCATCACCAAACTGAATCCTGGATGATGCTTTCTGCAAGACACAAATCTTGTTGGTTTCTATTCTAATGGAAGGAGAGACTGATTTCTGTGGAAAACTGAAAGAGGACCACACATTCTTTGGGCTCTCATCCAGAGGTGGGTTTACTCCATCCCTGAACTCTGGACTCGCTTTGCTATTGCTTTGGCCATCAGGGTGTGGCCCAAGAGCTACTTCCACGGCCAGGCCTGAACTGAGGTCCCCCCGCAGCTAGTCAGCACCAAGGGGGTGCAGAGGCCATCCTGGGCCTCCCGGCGCAGCCAACCCTTGCTGACTGCCACCACAAGCGTGATCCCAGGTGAAACCAGCGGAGGAATCACCCCACTTGCCCATAAACACAGTCAATTGTTGTTTTAAGCCACAATGTTGAGGCAGTTGTGCAGCATTAATTAACTGAAACTCTGGCTTGCTGGGTAATTTTCCACCCGGCAGAGCCATATGGCTTTTCTCGCCAACTGCCTCGAGGGCCACCCTCGGTGTCAGGTCCATTTGCCTCCCTGTGTTTGTTTTGGGACCCACTCCTTCCTACCTGTTACCATCTCTGTATGAGGCATACAAGTGTTTATTCCTTTAAATGCAACGTCTTCAAATCTGATTTTAGTTTTCTCACCTCCCGGATAAAGTGGGAGTACCTGCCTTTTGGACTGTGAAGGGGATTTCCGTGAAGGACCCGGCGCAATGCCTTGAACGCTTCGTAAAAGGCCTCACTTGGCCCTCGGTGCTGGCGCTGACCTGAGTGCCCTGGGCTTCTGGCGGCCTTCCCGGACTCGTCGGCGAAGTGCGCCGCCAGCCGGACACGCCGCCCCTGCTACCTTCCCCCGTGACCGATAGCTCTGGCGGTCACGCAGGACGCGTCCACCTGAACTGGGGCGCCACACTAGGTCGCGCACCGCGTCCCTCACTCCAGTCTGGTTACATGGGACTCGGCCACTCCCAGGACACCTAAGGACTCCGCGGGCTCTCCAGCCCCGCCCCGCAGCGCCCCGCGCTACTTCCGGGGCGGTGCCAGGGGCGGGGCGGAGGAGGTCCGCTGCGCGCGCAGCTTGCAGGGCCAGGAGCGCTCCCGTCCTCACCGAGCGCGAGCGCGCGCCGCCATGGGCGCGTTCAGAAGCAGGAGGTGGGTACATGCCAGCCTCGCGGCGCCGGGCGTAGTGGGCTGTGGGAACTTGGGACCTTCAGGCCGGGCTCTGCGCCCGGGTGCTGAAGGCGCTGCAGTTTGCGCCCAGCCCTTGGGAGTAGTCAGCTCTATGGCTGGAAGAGGTTTCTCCACAATACCAGAGGGTGCAAACGAAAACGTGTTGGGCGCCGCGTGTGCAGGCCCACAGGGAGCCGAAAAGGCGAAATAAAACCTGCACACGCTGGTCATGAGACTCTGGGTGAGTGGTGCGCTGTCACAGATGGCAAAATTACTCGGAAAGGTTTTTTTTGAAGGAGGTGGGCCAGCCTAGGTGGGTAAGTGTGTCAACGTGAGAAACAGTCAAACCTATGAAGACTTTTTGAGAGTTTATTTGAGCCAAAACTGTTGACAGGAAGCAAAATCTCAAGGGATTGAGATAATGCTCCAGAGAATGGCAGTGTTGCACCTTATTTTATGCATTACAATCAAAAGAGAAGACACAAGGAGTTACATGAAGTCCATTGGTGATAGATTAGGGAGGTGGGAGGAAAGCAAAGCGGGGACACCTGGGATTGGATAAAAAGTAAAATGATAGACACATACATGTTTTACATAGGTGGGTATAGGATAATTGACAGTCAACAGTGAACTCAGTAACAGTGAGGGGATTGGTGGTCTCAGCAGAGTGGTGCCTTTGCTTTGAGGGGTCCAGAAAAAGGAAAATTACTTTGATGTTCCAAAGATATGTTATCATAGGTGCAAAAAGACAATACAAAGTAAAGATTGACCTTTGTCAGGGAAGATGCTGGCCTAGGACATGACTACCTGCCATAAACTGCTTTTAGTTAAAAGGTTTTAACCCTCATTTTATCTGTCTTCAGCATTTGGCATTGTTAACTATCTTGTTTCCTTGACGCTTCTATAATACCGTATTTTGAAATTTCTGCCTTTTCTTTTCAGTTTCCTTTGGAAGCTCTCCCTCCTACATCTGTATATTCCTTAAATGCTTCAGCTCTTCAAGGCTCTAAGGCTTTCATGGCTTCTCGCTGAGCCCTCTCTGGACAGTCTAGTCCCTTTCCACGGCCTCAGTTACCATCTATTCAGCTTGGTGCCATTGGCTGCTGGATAACCATAGACTGTCAAGTTTCACACCGTCAAAATGAACCAATTAATCTTTACTCCACGCCTCCTTTTATGAAATCTGCCCTAGGAAACGTCACCTTTTTCCATCCATTTGCCAGGCCAGAAATCAGGGCATAATATTAATAAAAAAATTAATATATTGTGTACTTTCTATGTGCCAGGCACTCATAAGCACTTAACACATGTTAGTTCATTTAATCCTGATATGAGTCTCATCCTTCCCCAGATATGGCTAAGGTATCTTGAGGCATAGCAGAAGTCAAGAAGTCAGCCCTAGATCACTCAGCTGGTAAGAGACAGTTGGCATTTGAATACTGTCACTCTAGCTGGAACTTGTAATCATTTCACCACGAAGGACAAGACCCTTGATTTACAAGACCCTTGACTTCTGTCTCTCACCCTCATTCAACCAATCACCAAGTATTATAGATTCTTCATGCTTAAATCTCTAGGTGATGTCTCTGAAGTATATATCTGATCTTTCTGCTTCCTTAAAACTCGTTAGCACTTCTGCCATGGCCCTCAGGGTGAAGTTAAGCATTTAACATGGATTTAAAATCTCCATAATCTGATGTCTACTTCTGCCTCCTAACTTGCAGCTCCCCATCCTTGCACTCTGAAGTACCAGCAGTCTTGTACATCTTAAGTGTAAGCAAACGGAACCAAATTTTTTGAATATGACTTTTTTTCCTCCAAGCTATTATACTTTGTTGTAATACTTTCCCTGACCCCTTTTATATCTCAGCATCAATGTCACTTCCACTAATCTGAGGAATAGATGGCCCTCTAATGTACTTACTTTATCACAGCATTCATGACATTATTTTAATTGTTGCCTTAATTGCTTTTTAGTATCTCCCCCTAGATGTGTGAGTTCCTTGAAAAAAAGGAGTCTATGACCTTAAATGCCTCTCACATTCATCCCCTTCTTTATGTCTGCTACCCTAGTTCAGGCCCTCATTATCTCTAGCTTGGACCTCTGCATTAGTCTGTTAAGTGGTCTCCCTGCCCCTGGTCTAGCTTTTCTTTAATCCATGCTCAACATGGCTGGCAGTAGTTGTTTCGTTTAATGCCTGCTTAAAACACTTCAATAGAGCCTAGCTGCTTTAAAAAAAAGTCCAGATGTTTGAGAGTTACATGAATTTGACTCCTCTATTACTTTACTACCTTGGCCCAGTAGGCACTCCATGGATACTGGTTGAGTGAATGAGGGAATGTATCAAAGTCAGCCAAACAGAACCAAAAACAAAGGGTTTAGCCAAAAAAGAGAGTCTGGCCAGAGACTTCCTAGAGCAGCATAGCCATAGACATCAGTGGAACTAGAAGATTAGTGGTATAACTCTGTTCCTGGGGAGTCCCCAAAACATGCTTTACTATTAGATGACTCCTTGTCTTTGCATCTGCCTGGAATGTGCTCCTCCTATCCACTTGGTAAACACCACCAGATTTCAAGACAGTTCAAGTATCCCAATTCTCCTGATCTTTCTGGACAGAGTATAAATTGGGTCTTTTCCATAGCATAATTTATCAAAATATATCAAGAGTGATGAAAGTGTGAAACTCTTTAACCCAAAAATTGTGTTTCAAGGATATTACTTAACTACAAAAGAATTTGGCCTAGTTATGGATTTTACCAATCCATTCTATCCCCGTTCTTGAACCTAAAGGAAAATTATGACCATCCTAAGAAACAGAATTGGGACGGAATGCTTTCTTTACCACCATAACTAGTCAAAATAGTTCATTGGTGGAGCTAGTATTTTCAACCTTTGCCACCTACTATTTCATTAGTACTGCTAAAAAAAAAATGTGCTAAGTGTCCAAACATAATAAATTTGTTCGTAGACTTTCCATACAGTCTGCTACTCAGATTGTCTCTCCCCTTGACCTCAGGTTGGGTCCATCCTAAAATAACATTGATATGAATAAGTTAGGTTGCCAGTAAATCATATATTTCAATGTCAAATAGGCATTATTTTTAAAGTGTTAAAAGGGCATAATTAAAGCTTTCAACAGAGATGTTCACGAATACAATGTTGATAACACACACACACACAAAACTAGAAACAACCTATAATTACAGAGTAAACTGGGTCACATCTGCCAGTGAAGTATTACAGTGTGAAAGCTGATGTAAAAACAGATTTAACGTTGAATGAAATAATGGTATGGTTCCACTTCTGTGGGGGAAAAGTGTGTTTACATATGCACAGAGAAAAATGGGTACACCAAATTGTTCATTGTGATCATCTCCAGGAGCTAGTAGGGAGTCTTTTCATTTGCTCTTTTTTGCTTATCTGTCTAGTCTCACTTTTCTTAATGGACATGTATTACCTGTGAATTCAAAATAACTGGTTTGACTTTGAGATATATATTTTCAGATTTATTATTTGAAAAATCTGTTCCCTTACACCATTTCAACTGAAATTACTGAGGTTTGCCTTCAGTTATTTCCTTTTAGTACTCTGTTGTAGAGTTGTTGTAGACAAATGATAAAGCTAAAAGGCAAGGAAAGCAATTTTCCTGGATAGAGAATTAGATGAGTTGGGATTAAATAACTAAGAATTGATAACTAAAAAACTAATTTTTCTTTTCTCAATCAATTAATTTGTCTTTCATTTTTAAAAGCATGCTGGTCCCATTTTCAAAGAAGAATTGCTTCCAGTTACTTTATAACTTCAAGGTCCCAGCAACTGGCTTTAAAAACACAGTAACAAGTGGGCTCATTTTACAGTCAGTTTCCAATGATGTTTACCAAAATCTGGCTGTAGAAGACTGGATCCATGACCATATGAACCTAGAGGGCAAGCCGGTTCTGTTCTTGTGGAGAAATTCTCCCTCTGTTGTAATTGGTAGGCATCAGAATCCTTGGCAGGAATGTAACCTGAATCTGATGAGAGAAAAAGGTGTAAAACTGGCTCGGAGAAGAAGTGGAGGAGGCACAGTTTACCATGATATGGGTAATATCAATTTGACTTTTTTTACAACCAAAAAGAAGTATGATAGGATGGAAAATCTAAAATTAGTTGTGAGAGCTCTGAATGCTGTCCAACCCCAGCTGGATGTGCAGCCTACCAAAAGATTCGACCTTTTACTTGATGGACAGTTTAAAATCTCAGGAACAGCTTCTAAGATTGGCCGGACTACTGCTTATCACCATTGCACTTTGTTATGTAGTACTGATGGGACCCTCTTGTCATCTTTGCTCAGGAGCCCTTACCAGGGGATCAAGAGCAATGCCACTGCTAGTATACCTTCCTCAGTAAAAAGTCTGCTGGAAAAAGACCCCACTCTGACCTGTGAAATACTGACAAATGCTATAGCTGCAGAGTATGCTGCTTGTCATCAGATTGATAATCACATCAACCTGATAAACCCAACAGATGAGATCCAGTTCCCTGGAATAAATAGCAAAGCCAAAGAACTACAAACCTGGGAATGGATCTACGGCAAAACTCCGAAGTTCAGTGTAAAAACGTCCTTTAATGTGCCACATGAACAGTCACACTTGGAAATCAAAGTATTCATAGATGTAAAGAACGGGAGAATTGAAATCTGTAACGTTGAAGCACCTGATCATTGGTTGCCACTGGAAATATGTAACAAATTAAGTTCAAGTTTTATTGGCAGGAAGTTTTGCCCAATTGAAACTACTACTCCAACAAATATATTACATAGACTATGTCCAGAAGATAATGAACTACACAGTAAATGGAACATTCTCTGTGAAAAAATTAAGGGAATAATGTGATTGCAAGTAAATTTAATATTGACAGGTTCAGTGAGAAAATAAAAACTTTCAATGTACATTGTATGTCTCTTAAAGTTAAAAGGGCCACCCTGGCTGGTTTGGCTCAGCGGTTAGAGCATCAGTCCCTGGACCAGAGTCTCATTTCAATTCTGGTCAAGGGCACGTACCTTGATTGCGGTTCATCCTGGCTCTGGTTGGGGTTGTGTGAGAGGCAACCAGTTGATGTGTCTCTCTCACATCAATGTATCTCTCTCTCTCTTTCTTCCTCCCTCCCTCCCTCCCTCCCACTCTATCTGAGGATAAATGGAAAAATATCCTTGGGTGAGGATTAAAAAAAAATAAAATTAAGAGGGCCTAGTCTCTCTCTGTTACTTCTCCCCATTTGTGTCTACCACCCATCCTTATTTGTATTTTATCCTGACCTCTGTAATACTCTTGTCTTTCCTCACTGATTTTAATACCTGGCATGCATATAGATTCCCATTCCAGCCTCTGTTACCATCTTGGGAATGTTGACCACATCAGACACTCTGACTTTAGTTCTTTTTCTTATCTCTGGGGAATACAACCTCGGCTTCTTGTCACCTCTGATACTTGAAACTCTAAAATTACCCTTTTTAGTTATATCTTCATAGTCTTCCATCCTCTCCCACTAAATCAAGTCTATTGTACTCTTTCAAAAAATTTTTTTCATTGATTTTAGAAAGTGAGGAAGGGAGAGGGAGAGAGAAACATCAATGAGAGAGAACATCAATTGGCCACCTCCTACATGCCCCTCACAGGGGATGGGGCCCACAACCTGGGCATGTGCACTGACAGGTACTGAACCAAGCCAGACCCCAGCAGCAGTTTAGGGAACCATATTCATTAGGGTGCTCTCCCTTGATGAATCAAGCTCCCTCCCTTTCTCCTTTCCCTCCACCTTGTTTTCAGTAAACCTCTTCTTTTGAATGTTTCACCTCCTCTTGATTTCTATCTTGGGGTGGGGGTGGCAAAAACCCCTTCACCTGTGACACACTATAATAAAGTTCAGCAAAATTAGTTTGAGTATTTTCAGGTTCAGCATCATCAGCACCTGAACTCGAAAACATCAAACATCAGGAACTTTTCTGGAAGCCCTTCTTATTCTTTTCTACCAACTCAATCACGTACCTGCTGGCTCACAAGAGCAAAACGTAAACCTGGTGTCCAAAGCCACCCAGGACTGCTTTGCTCAGCCTTAGTCCCATGGTTTCCTTCCATCTGACCTTGATATTCCGCACTATTTATTCTTGAATTTAATCTTAAATCATTTCCTGATGGGATGTCTATAAGTGCACTCTCCAACACCAGTACTTCTATTTCTGTCTGTGGACTCTGGCTTAGCTTATTCTTTAAGCTTCTGGACTGCCCATTGTTTCTACCTGTATCCACTCTCCCAGTCTAACTCCATGCCTAGCCTTTGTCCCCAACCAGTCAATTGGGTGGATGAGCTTACCCAATAGTTGATTATAAACTGCAAGGCTTTATAAATGTGCCAGCCAAGGTTGACTGAACTGCAAAATGCATCTGGATAACTAAATAGGTGGATTTGCATTTATGGAGTTAGGTAATGTGAGATAACTAAATATTGGCGAATGTTGCCCTGGCCAGTTTGGCTCTGCGGTTAGAGCGTCGGCCTGCGGTCCGGAGAGACCCGGGTTCGGTTCCCGCTAAGGGCACGTACTTCGGTTGCAGTTTGTCCCCGGCCCTGGTTGGTCGTGCGGGTGGCAGCCACTTGATGTGTCCCTTCACGTCGATGTTTCTCTCTCTCCCTCCCTCCTACTCTATCTGTACAAAAAATGGAAAAATATCCTCGGGTGAGGATAAAAAAAAAAAAAAAAATATTGGCGAATGTCTGCCAAAGACATTTGTAGCAAAATTAACATTGTATTTTTTCCCTGGATATTAGACCCATAGCCCATCTGTCTGTACTCTTATCCATAATTTTTCCTCCTGGACTGTAAATTTCCAGGGGCAAAATTAACAATTAACATCCAATCCATCTTTTTTTTTTTTTTTTTAAATCCTCACCTGAGGACATTTTTCCATTTTTTGTTCAGGTAGAGTGGGAGGGAGAGAGAGGAAGAGAGAGAGAGAGAGAGAGAGACGTCGATGTGAAAGGGACGCATCGACTGGCTGCCACCCGCACAACTATCCAGGGCTGGGGACAAACTACAACTGAGACACGCGCCCTTAGCAGGAACCGAACCCAGGTCTCTCAGGACCACAGGTCAATGCTCTAATCGCTGAGCCAAACTGGCCAGGGCCGATCCATCTTTATAATAGGTGCTCATTATTTGTTGATGTATTCTCCAACAGCCAACGAAGAGAAAAGCTGGTAAAATGTTTACATTAACTATGACTTAAAGTACTATAAATCTAAGTAATGTATTTACAAATATATTTAAGATTGGTCACACAACTGAACAATGGATACATAAATTAGTAGAAATGTACAATTTTATTATTAAATTCATACATTACAGGAATGATCTGTCCAAAGTAAAAAAAATCCAATATACACTTAAAATAGAAATATACAATATAAATTAAGCTACTACACATCATATTTTCTTTGTGTGCTTGTTATGAAAAATGTCCACTGTTGTTTCATGACATGGTCTTAAATCGAAATCACAATATCCAAGGGAGAAACGACTCTAAGAAGAGAAGAAAAGAATCTTTTATCAAAAAGGAACAAGCCATGTTGTTAAAATGAACAAAAAGAGTGCGACCCACTTATAAGGCTATATCCTACCTGTGGTTTCTTAAAATAATCCAGTCCCCTTCCAATCTTAATTATCCATCCATTGTTGAACCTATTGGAGTAAGTATATACTATTACAATCCAGACAGTTATGTCAGAAAATTAGTAAAGCTGTAGGGTATGAAGTATCAGCAAATCTCTCTGTAACAGAAAACCATTTTCTCCAGTACCATGAGTTGAACCAAGTCTGGGGTAACCCATGGGCTGTGTCTACAATGAACAAAACATTCACAGAAACCATGGGTTGATTAGATTGACTGATTAACAATTACATTAAAACTTACTCTTGAGACCTGGCCAGGTGGTTCAGTTGGTTGGAGCATCATCCCATACACCAAAAGGTTGTGGGTTAGATTCCCAGTAAGGGCACATATGTAGGTTTTGGGTTAGATTCCCCAGTCAGGTCATGTACAGGAGGCAAACAATCGATGTTTCTTTCTCTTTTTTTCCTCCCTCCCTCCCTTACTCTCTAAAATCAATAAACACGAAGATAATAAAAACTTACTCTTGAATTTATTATACCTTGCTGATGATAAAACTTTCCTGTTCTGCCAATACGTGGTTTCAAAGTATACGCAGGCAGACTGGTGGTGTTTCAGGTAGCAATGGGGGACGTAAGCAGGATGAGCTCTGGGTCCTGACCTCTGTCTGCGTCAACCACAGCAGCTGTATTTTCATCTGTTTTGCATTAGGTTGTGCTTTAGTTTTTACTAAAACTGGATGTGCCATCGCTATAGACCTATAAAAGGCACTGTGCTAAACAGAGGGGACACACCACTAAAAAACTGCACCTTCTGTTTCCTTATAAGCACAGCATGCTGTCATGCCTACCAGAATATTTTAGAAACCATAAGAATTAAAGTCACATTAAATAAATATCAGTATCACTAGAAAAGGAAATAAATTCTCCCAATATCATAACAAAATATGTATAGTTGAACAGACAAAAAAGGACTTCCTCTTCTCTCATCATGTAGAACATGTATATATTATTTCATGAGGAAATATGAAACAGGGGAAAATAAGCCAGATTTTTTTTTTCTTCAAAAGTAAAAAGATATTATAACTAAGCTTATTTTAAAACTTCAATATTTAAATAGAATATTTGTATGCAATTATATAAAACTTAAGAGAAATAAAAAGTATTTTTCAACTGCATAAAAGTTAAAAGTATTACTATACAGTAACCTAATTTCTCGGTCATGTATGGCAGAAGAGTATTCTAATTCCAACAGCACTCCATGATTCCTGAGTGACTCTTTTATTTCTCGTAGGCCACTAATTTGCTGTTCTTTCCCATTGCCCTGGTAATAGAAAAAGAATAGAAATTTTTGCATGTTACATGTTTTAAATTATCCCTAAGCTATGCAATGTGTATCATAGGTGAATTAAAATGGAGAGTCTATACTAGTTCCAATGTCTATTAATCTCAAAGAAGCAACCAAAAAATATGAAGTATTTTATGAGCAATTGTTTTTATCAAAATAATTGTTTTTTCTAATGCGGACGTAACACAACTCTGTCCTATCTCCTAAAATGTATTTTAATAATTCTGTTGAATTATTCAGATAGGACTGGCTTGTTCTCAATTTAATCCTAGAAATCTGAATTATTTAGAAGCATCCCTATATAAGTCAAAATCAAGAGAGAGACTCCCACTATTATGCTATGATCCCCCAGAATGCCAATGCAATCAATCAAGAAAGAGATACATGTAATAACTGGTAGAAAAAAAAGAGAAAAAATCGTCAATAGTATAGACAGCATGATTGTCTCTTAGAACTTCCAAGACTAAATTGACAAAGTATTTGAATAAGAAAGTTTAACAAGGTGGCCAAACAAAAGGTACAAGACATTTTCTCAAGGTGTTTTATGCCCACTGTTAGATAATAAGTTCACCCCAAGGAAATAGCTCTAGCTGAAACATTTGTCCTTGCTTGAACTGAATCTTGTAACTGAACAAAATGAAGTTAAGAAAGAGTGAATGCCTTCAGATACCTACTTCATCCAAGGAGGTGAGAAGATGGATCGTTTTTACTTTACATGGTCTCTTAATAAGCATCTCACAAAACCGAAGCAAGTTATACAGCTGAAAGACATTAAGATGGGTTACTACTAACTCATACATTTTAAGTAACATTTCATCACGTTAGTACATTTCACTTACCTGATGAGTATGTCTAATATAAGGATCTTCTATCCAAACTTCTGTAACTGTCTCATTAAGGTATTCTTGAAAAAGTGATTCATAACTGAATCCTGTTGCATTCGCCTCTATTTTAATTTGCTTGTGATATTTTCCGTCTACAAAACACAAGCTTTACTAAAAAAAAAAAACTAGTGACAACTCATTTTTTTATATTTGTTATATTTATATATAGTGAGTAATCAGGATCGGATACAAATTATTTTTTTAACTCCTCCACTCAGTAAACTTTTTTTAAAAAAATATTTTTATTGATTTTTGAGAGAGAGAAGAAGGGAGGAGAAAGAGAAACATCGATGTGAGAGTGGAAATTCGATTGGCTGCAATTCGACTGGCTGCCTCCTGCATGCCCCCTATTGGAGATCGAGCCAGCAACCTGGGCATGTGCTCTGACCAGGAATCAAATCAGCAACCTTTTGGTGCATGGGATGACGCCCAACCAACTGAGCCACACCAGCCAGAGCAGTAAACATTTCTGAATGCCTGCTGTATACCAGGCACAGGATGCTACACATACAGAGGTAAAGAAGGCAAAACATTCCATGAGTGACTTCCACCTTTTCATAGGCCAGGCAAGTGGGAGAGTCAAGAGATTTCTTGGAACGGATTCTGAGCTGATTCCTAAGAACCAGGCATTTTATTCAAGAGAGGACTGTATGTATAAAGACATCTAATATTCTTGTCAACAGGAGAACTGTAAGCTGTAATTCAGTGGCTATCTTGTCCTTCTCTTCAGATTTAAGTCTTTTATGTCCTGCAATTTAATAGCGAAAGTGAATATTAAATATATAAGTACAGTATCATATGGAGTTTAGAAGTCTTTCTTAGATTTGGTAGGGGCATGTTTTAAGCAGAAATTGACAGTACTTCTCAATAATCCAAGTCAAAGACTTAGGGTGTCAGGGGATCGGTAGGATAGCTCCAATGTGTTTGTTCACTGAAACTTAATGATGATTGAATAAGTTATCAAAGATCTTTAAGATTTTTTAAAAATATGATCCCTAATGGGTAGTTCCTAATCTATATAATAGCTGCACTTTGAAACTGTTTAAAAACCAGTAGTTTGGATTCTGTTCCTAATATTTCCACAGATACAATGTTAGCAACTCTGCATCCATTCTGAAGCCAGGCAAGCCACAAAGGTTAATTCAACCCAATGAATTCAAACCACGATGCTGATGTTACTATATTCATCAGTGTTTTAGAGGAAATTTTCATTGTAGATTTCAATTTAGAATCTACACAATTTTATTCCCAGTCAACAGAGGAGCTCAGTGGGGCACCTATACTCAGTGGGGTACGGGCTTGTACAGAACAGTTGGAAGAGGTGGGGAGAGGGCTGTAGTTAGAAGTAAGGAAGAGCAACTGGAGCTGGAGGCCACTTTTTGAGGCACTAGTCCCTTTGGCTGCAGAAAGCAGCAAAAGTGGTACTTCAGGCAACTGTGGCAATGGCCACTTATGTTTATGTTTGTAAACTGGATGCTCGTGAGGCAAGGCTAATAAATAGGGAACAATACCACTGCATTTCTAATCATTAGCAATATTTCTGAAATGTTTTGCTTCGCAACAAAACCCCACAGAAGTCCCAGGAGTTTCCTTAAATATTTTAGTATTTTGGTCATTTTATAAAGAGAAATATAAATTCAATACAGGACTCGCATTCAGTATTCCTTTGTAGTGTTAACTTAAACTGGTTCCACACATGAGTTTCACGTGGATCTGTGAATTCCTTCAGACAGCAGGCAAAGGTCTGCAGTATTTATAATTTTCATCAGATTCTCAAGAGGATGTATGACTACCACCTCACTCCCCACTCCCCAAAAAGGTTAAGTAAGAATAGCTTCTGTACAGGGGAGCAGAAACGCAGAGGAAGCCTGTCAGCTGCAGGGATAATGATCCAGACCACACAGAGCTCCAAAGGCAGAGCCAGACACACAGGGTGAAAAGGGCTTTGTCAATGGTGCATAAATCCATTCTCTGAAACAGCCGCTTTACCTTCTTTTTCTTGATCTAAGTATTTCTTGATGTTTTCTGCTCTATCCATGTAGTCTGAAATTTTTTTTCTGAGATGACATTTCTTTCTATCATCTTTGGTGCCTACAAAATTTAAAAAAAAAAAACATATTCCTAAGTTTCAAACCAGTTTTGTTTGTTTTTTGAAGTATAGACATTATTTCCAACTTCCAGAGTCCTCCACACATTTCCTGTCCCTTCAAATGGGTTGCCTCGGTCCTAAAAACACAAATTTGACTTGATCACTGGGGCTTTAAGCATCTAAAGCAGCATTATTTAGGAGTGGGGATTCTGAGACTCTGACACTGTGTTTCACTGCTGGATACACTAAATCTGGTGAGGCAACAAAGGTGGCTTATTATAGGTCAAACCTGAGTCAGCACTATTTTGCCCTAATCACCCACAAGTTTGAAGTCCCAGCATAATAAAAAAAGAGCTAACGATATTTATCTTTCTTCCACAAAACTAGCTACTCTTCCAGACTTCTCCATTATAGTTTATGCTCAATCATTTTCCTAGCCACCCTAAAATGTAAGGTAATTTTGAATATATAGTATCAATAAAATCTTACCCCAAAGTCCCATCCCCCAAACCCAAGCAGTTACCAAATCATTTCTGGTTCCTTCCTTCCTTTTGATATTGCTTATCTTTTCCATAACAATTTCATTTTTAAACTCTGTTTTCAAAACATTTTATTTTGATTTGATCTTATATTTATGGAAAGTTGAGCAAATGGTACACTCCCTTTGCCCAGATTCCCCTAATATTAATATATCACCTAACCATAGTACAATGATCAAAGATAGGAAATTAACATTGATACAACACTATTAACTCGCCTATAAATCTATTTCCCCAATTTTTCCACTAAAGAAAGTTTGTTTTCTGGTCCAAGATCTCACATAGCATTTAGTTGTTGTCTCTTCCTTTTTGTCTTTCAGTTTGTTTCTTAGTCTCTCTCTGGTCAGTTATTTTGTAGAATGTCTCTCATTTTGGGCTGTTGATGTTTTCTCATGATTAGAATAAGGTTATGATTTTTGGCAAGGACACCACAGAAATGTTGTGCCCTTCTCAGTGGGTCCATGATGTCGATGTGTCTTATTCTAGTGAAGTTAACTCTGATCACTTGGTTATGGGGTGGCGTTCACAAATCTCTGCACTGTAAAATCACTATTTTCTCCTTTGTAATTAATAAGTATCTTGAGGAAAGATATCCTGTTTCTCATCACTCTTTGACCCATTAATTTTAGCATCTATCAATGGTCCTGGACAGCAATAGATATTACTACCACAGTGTTTGCCAACTGGTGATTTTCTATTGCCATCACTCCTGTTTATTAATTGTAATTTCATTGTAAGAAAGAACTATTCCTTCTCCCCATCTATTTACTTATCCAATTATTCATTTATATCAATATGGACTCATGAGTATTATTGTATTCTATGGGTTGTAATCTATCATTATTTTCTTGCTCAAATTTTATCAGCTTTGGCTTTAAGAGTTCTTTAAAGTTGGCTCCTGTGTTCTTCCAACATGTCCCATCTTTTTTTGAGCACTTCCTTACTTCCTGGTACAAAATGTTTTAAATTCATCTTGTATCTTCCCTGCCCCAGCCCTGGAAGCAACCATTTTTCTAAGGAGCCCTGGTTCCTTTTTGGAGAATGGTATCAAGAAATCAACTTCTTAGTGCTACGTGTGCTCATTGCTACTAGGGAAGTCCTATCACTACTTCTAGACCCTTTCCATCACCACAGCTGGAAAGAACATGTGGGTTTACTAATACACACATACAGGCATTCCCCACAGATACTTTGGCTTCAGTTCCAGACCACTGCAATACATTGATTATCTCAATAAAGTGAGTCATATAACTTTTTGGTCATGTGCCAATGCCAATAATTCAATATCCACACTGTCTCCTCCTTTTCCTAAAATTGGTCTCACCTCCCTGATTCATTCAGGCCTTTATCACTTCTCACCCTGATCCCTACAGGAGCTCTTTAATTGGTCTGCTTGACTTCAATCTCTTCAGGTTAATGTGTCTCCTACACTTTTGCCATATTCAATGATTAATCGATAAATAATTATTGAGAATTTACTTCATGCCAGGCATTGTTCTAAGCACTGGGGGTACAGCAGTTAATAAAACAGACACAATTCTCCCCTATCGTTCAGGTGGGAGGAAAGATAATTATTAAAATAAATTGGTAAGACGCATTTGTCAGATTGTGATAAGTACTACTACAGAAAATAAAGAAAGGAGGAAGGGTGAGGGAGTCCTGGGGTGGGGTTGTAATGTTACCCTGGAGGCCAGGGAAGGCCTCACAAAGAACATCTGTGTAGACTAAAAGAGGAGAGGGAGCGGGCCATGCAAATATTTGGGAGAAGAATATATTCCTAAGAGAGACAAGCCCTGAGATGCAAATTTAATGACTGCTTTATAAAAACATTAAATGGTTTCTCCTTGTCTATGAAATGAATTAAAATCTCTAGCAGACAAGGCCATCCACAGTGTGCTCCAAGACCCAATCTACCTTTCATCTTTACTTCTCACTCTTCCTCTACAGACATACACTGAACCAAAGTGAACCACTTATTTGGTTAAACAGCACAGACAGACTATGAACACTATTAGCTGAACTTCTGATTTCTGAAATTCGAGTTATTCCTCTAAAGGTCCTATATCAAAAGCCACGTCCACCTTTCACTCCCAAACGACCTTTAACTGCACTTGTCTATAGCTCTCCTGGCACTTATTCCCTGAATGAGAGTTCTCCTCCATCTGCACCTTAACCTGTAAGATCACGTCACTGCTTCTGTAACCTCTACAGGATCCAGGGAGCACACAGGAGCACACTCCTGTGATTCTCCTGCTTCAGATTCCCACAGCGCCAGGACTTGAGCGGTGCTGCACTTGACCAACACTGTACACCATCTCTCTTTTGGGAGTCAGTACACCAGAGTCTTTAAAGCCCTGGCTTCCAAATGTGACTCTACCAACTGTAGCAGAACTGGAAAGCAAACTTGACTTTTTATGTTATAAAATGAAGATAACATCACCTCCTACTACATAGGGCAACTATGAGGATGAAATGAGATCATGCTTTTAATGTGTTCTGCACAGTGCCTGGCATTCAGCGCTCATAAATGATAATACTCTTATGGCTATCTTCCTTCTCATCATCATTATACTGCCCTGCTCAAGGTAGTTTTACAGTTCAGAGAAGCACCGAACATTGAAGAGCGCCCCCTGCTGTCTCAAAACACTTACATTATAAATACTGCAAACAGGAGTGGAGATAGGTCAGACTGGGAGGTCCAGGGAGAGGGAAATAGGAGCAGGTCCTAATAAATGTAAAACAATTACTGGGTGTCTACCATGTACCAGAGATTATGCTGGAGTTAGGGTTATTTGGGTACTTCACAATTCTGAATAATTATGTAACAAAGTCCCGCTGACCCATCTGCTATCTAGCATTTCTCACACCGAATCTAATTCTTAAGTAATTAAGAATCTAACAGTAAATCTAATTCTTAAGAAAAAACTTTTTTCCTTCTACAGTAGTAATTTTATTTTTGTGTACGTTTCATGAAACTGTTAAACAGAAAAGTCAGCTTAATAGTAAGGTTATAAGCTAGGTGCTTACTACCCAGCACCTAGAATTAAAAATTGTTAGTGTTTTGCCACATTTGCTTCAACGTTTCTTCCCGAAATACTTCAGTCTGCATCTCTAAAACTCAAGAACAGTTTTAAAAACATAAAAATTAAAAACAGTTTTTGAAGAAACCCTACTGCCTAACAAAGCTAATAATGTTCATGTTACCAAATCCATACTCTGAGTTTCCCAGTTGACGTAAAATTTTCTACAGTTTGTTCAAACATAAGTCCTATAAAGATTTATATATTCTATTTGGTTATTGAAAGGGTTAGCAATGTTTTAAAGGATAAAGGTAAAAGCTTGCAAAGGGCAGAAACTGTGACAATTATGTTGCTTGCATGACCTTTGCTCACCTTTCTGTTGAGTACAGATAAGGATTATCTGCAAGACAGTGAATCACCCAGCAGATGCAGAAGAGATACCAGATCGGTCCAACTACAAAGTGGACAATGGGCCAAGTAGAGTATGTCAGCAGGAACTGCCCTAGCTAAAAGTGGAGTATATAACCTACACCCCAACTGTTACTGGATGCTGAGCCCTTTTCAGCTCAGCCTGCGGTTGTGCAACCAGGTGAATACAATAAAGCCATTTTGCTCTACATTGGCCTTGTGGATGTGACCTCCCGCAGGCTCAGACCTTTTAGTTTCGTCTCTTAAAAATCTATAGTAATACACCCTTTTCTTGATGGCATCAATCTATTAAACATAAACAAGAAATCAGTCCACTTGCCCTATGCAATGTGCTACCTTCTGTATTTGCCCCTTCACGGTGCACAAGACTCATTGACTCTTCCACTGCGCCCGGGACACGGCAGGGTGCTGCTCCTTTTCCGGTAACCCTCCCTCCCGGGCTCATCGCTCACCTCTCAGAACCTGCAAGAGCAGATCAATCCCTTCCTGGTAACACACTAGAGCCTGCTGATACCGGGACTCGGAATCCAGCTCCACCGCTCGCTTTAACACGGTGCTTGCAGCTATGCTCTCGGAATCCAGCCCCAGGCCCGATTTTGCCATAATGCTGGAAACTTCTCTCCGCCTCCAACGCAGCCAGAGTGGGACCGGATCGCCGCGCTTCCGGGGAGTGGTCACGTGACACCGACGCGCCCTTGAGTGGGAGGGACTCGGCCGGAACTTTTAAAGCGCAGTACTATTTTGCTCGCAGCTGTGACGGCAGAGATTGAGTGTAGCACTTCCTGGTCTCGCCTCTGTTCAGCTTCCTGTCGGCGGGCAAGTTCAGGTTTAACAGCGTTTAGCAACTGCTGGTGAGTGGGGGATGCGTGGCCGAAAGTATTGCAGTTTTGCCTGGAAGACATATCTGGGAACCCCAAGTAGATGTGGATAGATTTCCCCGGAGTTTGCGGGTCACTGTGACCCAGGTGGGCCTGCGTCCGGGTCCGGGTCCTTTGGCTTCCGAAGAGCCATCGGCCACCTGATCCTGTGTCCCAGTTAGAGGGGTTCAGGGATGCGGTGCTTGTGGAGTCCGGATGCTGCAAGCTCGGGGGTCGAGCCGCCGAGGCCGGACAGCCAGGGAAAAGGCGTTCAAGTTTGGGTTAGCATTTTCTATGCTTCTGCTTTATTCATGACGCCGACGCCCCAATTGGGCATCAGTGCAGTTCAATTTGCTGTTAATGAAGATACAAAGTTGCCAGATTTTGAAATTGCTGCATGTTAGAAGGCGAACCTTCCGAAGTTAGCAGTTAAAATAGGTGCTATTTTACTGAAAGCTGTGATTTTTGCAACCATATTTTGGTCACCACCGACCCAAAGTTGCTTGTGCTGCGTATTTTTGCCTAAAGGCACTTAAGAGGTCTGCCTAGCTTCTGATAGCCTTCCACAAAGTTTCTGTGTACACAGTCACAAATTTTTTTATGAAAATGGGATTATACTTATCACATGATGCATATATTTTCCTATTTTTGCATTAGTGCAAGAGAAAAATTATTACTTGAGGTGGTGAACACGCAATACAGTGTACAGATGATGTGTTGTGGAATTATGGACTTGAAACCGGTATAATTTTGTTAATTAGTGTCACTCCAATAAATTCAATAAAAAGAAAAAAATTATAAAATAGAAACGCTTTTGATTAAAAAAAGAAAAGTTACTGTACAGTAGAAGATAGTATAATTGTTTCAAGGTCCAAGAGTTAATGTGCCTGATTATTAAGAACAACCTTTATTAAAACTTACAACTTTTGACTGTCACACTTTCTGAAGTCTGTAACTTAAACTTCATTCATTGAGCAGAAATTGATTGCCTGCTACTTCAGGTAGTTGCTTGGGATATATCTGAATAGACAGAACAGACCAAAAACAAAACAGTGTTTAAAAGTCTTTGCCCTTGTGGAACTAACATGCTATTGGGTAGAGATAGACAATAAACCACAAACCTAAGAGATTATGTTAGAAGATACGTGCAATGGAAAGAAAATCAAATAGAGGAACAGGGTTTGGGAGTGCTGAAAATTGAGGTGTGGGTCAAAATGTTAAATAATGAAATCAGAGTAGACCTTATTGAGAAGATGAAATCTGAGCCAAAAATGGAAGGAACTAAGGGAATTAACCATGTGAATTTCAGGAGTAGGAACAGCCAGTACAAGTTCCAGAACCAGCAAGGGGACCACTATGTTTAGTGATGGAGCAAGAGAATGATTGGCCTTGAAATCTTAAGAAGTGGAGGTTAAGGACTGGCTGTCACTCTGATTGAAATGGGCAGGCATTGGAGGTTTTTCATTTTTAAGAAATAATTTTAGAATAGTTTTAGATTTTAAAAACTTATGAAGATAGTACAGAGATCCTATATACCCCACATCCAGTCTCTCTTTTTAACCTCTTACATTAATATAATTGATGAACCAATATTGAAATTATTAACTTAAATTTCATACTTCTTTCAGCTTTTCTTAGTTTTTACCTGATGTTTTTTTACTCTTCCAGAATCCCATCCAAGATTCTACATAACTATATTTAGTTAGCATGGCTCTTTAGGCTCCTCTTGACTAGGACAGTTTCTCAAACTTTCCTGTTTATGATAACCTTGACAATTTTGAGGCAGTTGGGTGTTTTGTACAATGTCCCTCAGTTGGAGTTTGATGTTTTTCTCTTAGGAGTGGTGTTATGGCCCTGGTCGGTTTAGCTCAGCAGTTAGAGCGTCAGCCTGTGGACCAACGAGTCGCAGGTTCAATTCCAGTCAAGGGCACGTACCTTGGTTGCGATTCTTCCCGGCCCTCTTTGGTGTCGTGCGGGAAGCGGCCACTTGATGTGTCCCTTTCATGTCGATGTTTTTTTTCTCTCTCTCCCTCCCTCTTTTTCTCTCTCTTCCTCCCACTCTATCCTAACAAAAAAAAACAAAAAAAGGAAAAATGTCCACGGGTGAGAATACAAAAAAAAAAACGAGAGTGGTGTTACGGGGTTTTAGGAAGAAGACCACAGAGATTAAGTGCCATTCTCATTCTATCATATCAAGCGTAAATGCTGTCAGCCTGACTTTTATCACAGTTGATGTTAATCTTTCTGGCTGACATAATGTTTGTAAGTTAGTATTCCTTTCCCCCTTTCTGGACTGTCCTCTGGGAGCAGGTCATTGAGCACCGCCCTCACTTCAGGGGTGAGTGGTTTTGCTCAACCTCTTTGAGGGGGGGGGGGGATATCTACATAAACTATTTGGAATTCTTCTGTAAGGGAGATTTGTTTCTTCTCATTAATTCACTTAATTTTATCAGTGGGAACTCATGGTTATTTTATGGTTTGGATTATAAGCCAGTACTTCATTACTTATTTTGTTGCTCATGTTATTCCAACTTTCCCCACTGGGAGCTCTTTCATTTGGCTCCTATGTCCCTTTGACATCTCATCATTTTGATTTTTCTTGTGTTCCTTTCTAGCACTACAAGATGTCCCAGACTCGCCTTTATATATCTCCTGCTGCAGCCCTGTACTCAGCTATTTCTCCAAGGAGCCCTGGTTCCTTTTATTAGAGAATTCTATGAGAAACTAAGATCCGGGCACTGAGTACATTCAGTTTTACTGGGATGCCATCGCTTTTAGGTCCTCTGAGATAACAGAACTAACCCACGTTTCATCCATGTCTGTAATTGTGTCTGTGTCCATTGATATCTATATTGAGCTGCACATGAGTTGCATCTCTAATGCTGTCATTGGACCATATGGATCATTCTAGCTTTCCCTTCTAATGTGTAACCTCTTCCAACAGTGACAAATCTGGCTCTTTACAAGGTTTTGAGCAGAGAAGTTGACATGTTCTGATTTAGTGTTTAATGCAATGATTGCTACTATGGAGAAAAACCTTAGGGAGGTTGGAAGCAGGAAGGCCAATTAGAAGGCTTTTGTTGAATTCTGAGTGACAAATTCTAAGTGATAAGAGAAAGATTTAACTAAGTGTGAAGCTAAATGAGTTGGGTTAGTATATATTTAACTTGGGAGACAGAAGTATGGTAGAGAAAATAATTTACCCTTATCTATTTGATTGGAGGGCCAGAGGTCTAAGCATCTCTTCTAAGGAAGCCTCAATATGAGTGTATAAACAACCAGCCAAGCAAACAGTGGTTGATCCGAACTAGAAACTGTTATGCTGTATTGTAATGTCAGAGGTCTGAAGTCATGCATCTTATCTTTCTGCTTTCAGTATATGTCTGTATAGTAGGCTATAATTGTTATGCGTCTAAATAAACATGATGTTTAAATTTAGGTCATAGAAGCAATGTGTGTCTGTTAAGAACAGTTTAAAAAAGACAAATAAGCAAAAAAGAGAGTTTTGCTTTACTTTTATGATGATTTAGTGAAAATGCACTGGACTAGGTATTAAAGGGACTGAGTTCCACACCATATATTCCCTGGATAGCTGGGTGCCCTTGGGTGAGTGATTGAACATTCTGGGATTCATTTTCCTCCTACATAATGTAAGAGCGTTGTCAGTTCTAAAGATGGGATTTGGGATTTCTTCAGTCCCTTCAGCTCTTTATTGTTTTTGTTGTTGTTGTTGTTTCTTTTTTTTTTATTCCTCACCTGAGGATATTTTTCTACTTATCATTGGATAGAGTGGGAGGGAGGGAAAGAGAGAGAGACAGATAGAAACATCGATGTGATAGAGACATATCGATTGGTTGCCTCCCACAGGACCCTGACCAGGGCCAGGGGACCAAACCGAAACCAGCGTACCTACGTGCCCTTGACCGAAATCGAACCCAAACTCATTGGTCCTCCACTAAGCAACTGAGCCAAACCGGCCAGTTATCTTTTTTTTTTTTTAATTCTGAAGTATTGAAAGGATTGGCAGTGAATCCTTTCTCTTTTGCAGACTGAGAGAAATAGGGCTAGAACTTGTAGGAACAAGTTTAATGTTTTGTTGTTCTGTAACAAAGCACTTTTTATCTGCCCTCATTGTTGACGATGTTTTAAATGATAGTAGCCCCCATTGACCCATTTTGGTTGAATCCACAGAGGTTCTGTCTAACTCATTTGATGAAACTGAGATGTGGTTAAAGTATATTTACTATCTATGGTTTTACTGAACTCCGAATGAAACATTTACTATAACTTAATGCTTGCCTTTATTGTATTAAAATAACTAAGATTTTACTCTTAAAGTTCAATCAATTTATCATTAACTTGTTTTGTTTTTTAAACAGAGGAGGGATCTGTTCATTTCCCCACATATTTGACCCACAGATCTGTGTTTCACAGTTCACAGCCTCTGGAGAGGACAGTCACCTCATCATGGCCGGGCTTCTGCGCTCAGTAGTTCTGAGGCCCCCAGGCAGACTAAACGTAAGTTTTTCTTTCCAAGAGTTACGTTTTGTTTTGTTTTTCTATTTCTTTAAAATTATTCTTTCTCGTTTCTAATCAACAAAACAGCAAGTTAAACCTAATTGTTTTATTTTTATATATCAATTTTTTAAATGTTGAGGGTTAATTGTGTTTATGATTTATCTGCTGTGTTACCCCTAAACATTTAGAATCACAAAAGATCTTTTCCTGGAAAATATGCTGCTAAAAAATGGCCAGTATTGATTCTCTTGGGCTTAATTAAAAAGAAATAGAAAAGCAGAAAGAAGAAAAACAATCTCCCAGAGACCATCAATGTTTGTATTGTCATGTATTTCCTTCAATCTTTTAGAAACTGCCTTGGTACAGCCTCACCTCTTCTCGGGGCCAGAGTCTAGATACAGACCTCCTGCTGGCTATAGCTAATACTAATGTCAGTGTTTTACATACTTTGCCTTAGATTAATCCCATGTGGTCAGTACTCTTTCCCTTTTATGCTGAGTAACTGACCCTCTGAGAGTAAGTGTCTCATTTCTCACAAGTGGTAGGCACACAGGCACAGAAGCCCAGTGTTGGCGGTGTGTCAAAACCTGTGTTTTCCCTTTGCCTTCCCATCCCCTCCTGCTGCATTGCAAGCTGTTTATGCCCTCTCTGCAGTACCGGGAGGGCGTGATGGGAACGATTATTGCCCATCCACAAAGCAGTTTCCTGGATGAAAAGTTTTTCTTTTCGAGAGTTATCTTTTTTTTTTCTATTTTTTAAAAATTCTGAAGTATTGAAAGGATTGGCAGTGAATCCTTTCTCTTTTGCAGACTGAGAGAAATAGGGCTAGAACTTGTAGGAACAGAACAGGAGCTGGGAACTAGGAGAGATGAGATTGTTGGGAATAGAAAGAAAACCGGAAACTCGTTTTGACTTTCCTTTGACATTGTACTGTTGAATGTGAAACACTGTGCATTGTCTAGAGCAGGGGTTGGCAAACAACAGCCTGCAGGCCAAATTCAGCTCACCACCTGTTTTCTAAACACAGTGTTACTTGAACACAGCCATGCCTGTTTGTTTATATACTATCCAGGTTAGTTTGCCCTCCAGTGGCAGAGTTGAGACTTGGCAATGGAAACTGTATAGCTCCAAGCTGGAAATGTTTGCTATCTGGTTCTTTACAGAAAAATATTGCCAACCCCTGGTCTGGAAGTCCATAATTATGTGCTTTTTGTTTCATAATAAGTTAGTGGTAAGATTCATGTAGAGGGCTGAGAAAAACATTTAAAAATTACAGGTTAGGTTAAAAAGAGACTTTTGTCACCTAAGAATTGGTGGGTATGGATTTCTGCACTAGACAGAGTTCTAAGAAACCGATGTTTTATATCATATTTTAGACTATGACCAAAGGCGTGGAGTCTCTCGTTTGCACAGATTGGATTCGTCATAAATTCACCAAGTCAAGAATTCCAGATAAAGTAAGAACAAGGTCCCCCCCCCTTTTTAATGTTACTATTTTTTTCAATGTTAATTTTAAAAGGTTCCTATTTTTGTGATGTTGAAAACTTTTATGTTAAATCATTTGTGAATGTAGGTCATAGAGCAGAGTTTACAACTTATATAAATGATTATTAAAAATAAACATGTGCCACTTGCCTTCCATGTAGTGGGTTTTAAACATCTCAGAATCTATTTATTACTGTGTCTGGTTTTCCCCTTAATGTTTTGCATTTTCATATCACCATTGTCTAGAAAAAAACAGCCTTCTTCCTCCTGCTCCTAAGCTCTGTTTCTGTGGCTCTTCTCTTTCTTTATCTATGTTGACTATTGCCACTTTGGGTCTTTGAGTTTTCTCTGCTAGGTTTATGTGTACATATCATTTTTATCAGAAAACACTGGCTAAGCCATTGGTGTTTTGCCTTTTTTTTTTTTAATGAATAGACTTTATTTCCTAGAGCAGTTCTAGGTTTATAGAGAAAGTTCAACGAGTTTCTTCATAGTCCCTTCCCCCACGTACACACTTACCCTATTAATGTCTTGCCTTGGTGGACATGTATTAGATTGGTGAACCAACATTGGCACATTATTATTAAACTTATAATAACTTACATCAGGGTTCACTCTGTGTGTTGCACACTCCTTGGGTTTTGACAAATACATAATGTGCTGTATCCACTGTTACAGTATCATACAGAATAGTTTCACAGCCCTGAAAATTCTCTGTGCTTCACCTCGTCATTCCTTCCCCTCCTCCCCCAACCCCTGGCAACCACTGATCACTTTGCTGTCGGTAGTTTTGCCTTTTCCAGAATGTCATATAATTGGCATAGCACAGTGGGTGACCCTTTCAGACTGGCTCCGTTCACTTAGCAATGAGAAAGTGCCTTGCTATCCTGCCATGACTTGATAGCTCTTTTTAAAAATTTTTTATTGTTGAAAGTATTACAGATGTGTCCCCTTTTTCTCCCCCAAGTTCATTTCCTTTTTTTTTCCCCAATTAATTGTATATTTAATCCAAAGAATGATAAATCATGAGTTAACTAGAAAATCTCTGGTTAGAACTCAGAAAAACATGAATTTGCAAAGATCAAGTTGTTCTCCATTAAAGTGTCTGGGGAGTCAGAAATCAGAAAAGGTTCTGGAAATCATGAAAGCCACATTTTTATAACCTGAGTGTTGTGACTGTGCCACTCATTTTCTTTTACCAATAATATGCCATTATCTGGATGTACCACAGTCTGTTTATCTATCACCTGCTGAAGGACATCTACGTTGCTTCCAATTTGGGGCAGTAGTAAATAAAGCTGCTATAAATATTTGTGTGAAGGTTTTTGTGTAGATACAAGTATTCAACATTTTGGAGGTAAATGAATGTAATTGTAGGATGTATGGTTAAGGCTCTGTTTAGTTTTTTAAAGCCCTGGGTTTTTTTGTTTTGTTTTTTCCTCAGTTTTTTGTATTGTGGTAAAATACGTATAACATAAAATTTTCTGTCTCAACCAACTTTACATGTACAGTTCAGTGGTATTAAACACATCCGCCTCGCTGTGCTATCATCACCATTATCCATCTCCGGAACTCTGCATCTTGCAAAACTGAAACTCTGTGCCCATTGAACAGTAACTCCCCAGCCCCGTCCCCCAGCCCCTGGCGCCCACCATTCTCCACTGATATTTTAAAGACGTAAAATAGTATTTCCTTTGATTATTTTGATACCTTTACTGTGTTTGATGTTCTGTTTTCAGAAACCTCTTTACTTTTCAAGTCATGGTCTTGCTGCTGCTATCCTTTCCACACCTGTGTGCATCTTTCTATGTTCCTTAGTCTGTAAGCTTCTGGAAGAAAAGGATCAATTCAAGTGTTAGCATTTGTTTAAAATGTGCAAGGCACTGATTTTGATCACCAGCTGTAGTAAATGTGAAAACTTAAACTACATAGAAATCATTCCGAGGTGTGTGTCTCCAGCCCATGTTCCCAACTTCTTCCCGTATCCTCGGATGGTTTCTAGACCTTGCTGCTTGGAGAGCGCAGAGGTGCTTCAAGTTAAACATGTCCAAAATCAGCTCATTGTCGTACTTTCCCTCCAGTCAATCAGACAGGAAGAGGGGGCGCGTCCTGTGTTAGTTACGTCAGTTAACGCTGCCGTCTTCTACCTGGTTTCCCAGGCTGGAGGCCTCCACGTCCGTCTCAACCCCGCCTTCCTCCCCCACCTTCTGTCTCACTGCCCAGCGTCCAGATCAGTCCTTTTCTGTCACAGCAACTGTGGTTCAGGCTCTTCCACCACGGCTGGGAGTGTTTCCTAACTGGGTGTCCTCGTACAGTCTCCCACTACCCGTTCATTTTATTCTCTTGAAAGTGTTTTCTTTCTGAATCTCTCTTGGAATTAAGGTCATGTTACTTCAAACCCTCAATAGTTCTGTATCCCATCTGGAAATTTCTAAAGGCTCAGCATAGCTGAGCATAGTTTAATTTCATCCCCTGCATTGCTTTTCATGATCTGTTCTACGTCAGCCACACGGAACCCTTGGCTCTCCCAAGTATTTCATACTCTTCACACTCCTCCTGTCTTCTCTCCTTTTCTTTGGCACACCTCCCCATCCTCTGCTGCCATTGTTTGTCCCACCCTACGTTTCTTCAAAATCCCTGGGAAAATACAAACCAGCAAAAAGAACTAAAAAATACCTTTAATCCTACCCTCCTAGAGATAGCTCCTGTGTAAGCACCTTCCACATCCTTTTCTGATGTATGTTTTTAAACATAGGAGTTTTTTCATATATAGGGGTGGGCAAAAGTAGATCTACAGTTGTGAGTACACGAAATAGTTTATTGTATTATTTGTTTATTAATTACTATATTATTTCTTCTTATTATTAACCTATTTTTGCCCACCCCTATATAATGCTTCTCTAGATACTTTCTTCATTTAGCAATATAATGTGAACCTTTCAGTGGATAAGTTTCTACAATATTACTTTTAATGATTGAATGATAACCTCTTGATTCAAGTGCCATCTTTTGTGGTCTTTCTTCAGTCTGATTTCCCAGAGGTATGACTCTTGATCTAATGTGTTTGCGACCTTTATACATATGTAAGCATATATATATATAAATTCTTAGAATCAGTATTTATAGAATATATCATATATACACATTTATGTATTTAGTACAGATGAAACAAATACAAGATCCTACTTTCCACACAGAGTGGAGTGGAAAGGTTTTGGTTTTTTGTTCTTTGTCATGTTTTGTTTTGTTTTTCATTTTTATTTATTGATTTGAGAGAGAGAAAGATAAGCATCAATTTGTTGTTCCACTTACTTATGCATTCATTTGTTGACCAGGATCAAACTCGCAACCTTGACATGTTGGGAGGGTGCTCTAACCAACTGAGCATCCCAGCCAGGGCCTATAATATTCATGTTTTATTGTCACTTTAGACTTATGTGTTTGTTCTTCCATTTGAACAGGGGTAAGGGGTGCAGCCCATTGCCCAGTTCATATAGTGCATAATACATTCTCCTGGCATCCAGACTTGGTTCTTTTAAACCAAGCTCTGGCCAGTCTTATTAAAGACAAATTTTGCACAATTTACTTTTCATCAGTCTGTTCTGGTGTGCTTCTAATGATGTCAGAATCACCCGGATCATGCTAGCCAATGTGTATACTCTGTAGTAGTTTCTACACGGCTGTGCCCAATTCAGTGTTATTGCCTCTGTAGTGATGGGCCTCTGTAGTGATGGACACCAGTCTTGGTCAACATGACATAATACTCTGTTCCAGGTTTTCTCAAGGCTGGACAGTTGTTGGTGAGGATGACCAGTTTTGTTTTGCCTTGTCTGATCATCTTCAGAGTCTGCTTGGACCCCAGCACATACTTTCCACTTTTTATAACCTGTTGGAGCCTAGAGCTGATCGACTCCAGTAACTTTTTTGTCTTCTTCACGGCCACCATCGCCTGCCTTAGGTGTGGGCAGCCCACAACCAAGAGCCACCAAAATGGCCAGGGAGTGTAAAAACAAGGAGTTCCCACAATGTCCATCCGAACCGTTTGGTGTCACCTGGTTGCTCCTGCCCTGTCCTTCAAAACGCAAACAAACAAAAAATCCTTGCCTGTGCGATACTGTCTTAGAGTAGGAAATTCTTAGGTTCTATCTAACTAATCAGACTGGTAGGAATGTTCAATTTGAGATTGAGAATTATAGAAAGATTAGGGATGAGATCATTATGTAGTTATTTTGAGGTTTTCTTAGGGGGGAAAAAAGGAGGTACATATAAACTGTATAAGCTAAAAATTTACCATATATGATTAATTCTTCTTTTCTAGGTGTTTCAGCCTTCACCTGAAGATCATGAAAAATATGGTGGGGATCCACAGCACCCTCATAAACTGCATCTCGTTACCAGAATAAAAAGTACAAAAAGACGTCCATATTGGGAAAAAGATGTAATAAAGATGCTTGGATTACAAAAAGTATGCAACTATTTTAGTCATCTTTAGTGCTTTTTAAACTTCAAGGTCTATACGCAATATTTTGTTTAAATGTATTCTTTAGTGGAATGTATTTGAAAGTTTGACTTAGACAGAATTTGTTATTAATTGTACGGAAACATGGGGCCATCTGTGATTTTGAAATTGATCTCCAACACTATTTCCCTCTGTTTGTAGGCGCATACACCTCAAGTCCACAAGAACATCCCTTCGGTGAACGCGAAACTGAAAGTGGTTAAGCATTTGATAAGAATCAAGCCCCTGAGGTTGCCGCAAGGCCTTCCGGCAGAGGAGGACATGGCCCACACCTGCCTCAAGAGCACTGGGGAGTTAGTCGTGCGGTGGAATCTCAGCCCTGTGGACCAGGAAGCAACCAAGTCTTAATGCCAGAGCCGTTTCAGATTTAAAAATGCAACTTATTTTCACTTAAGAATGGTTAGAAAGTGTTCTTGTTAAATATATTTTAAATGCTAGTCATTTTTACTGACTAAACATGGTGCGATTCTTACTGTAGGCTTGGAGGTTTTGGTGCTACTGTTTGGTCTAGTTCTCCCCTCCTTTGCCCTGATAATTTCACTGTGCTATGCGTAAGAATGGCATTGTTTGCCCTGGCCGGTTTGGCTCAGTGATACTGCGTCAGCCCACGGGTCAGTGAGTCGTGGGTTCGATTCCAGCCAAGGGCACATACCTCGGTTGCGGTTCGTCCCTGGCCCTGATCGGGTCATGTGGGAGGCAGCCAGTCGATGCGCCCCTCTCACTGCGATGTTTCTCTTTCCCTCTCTCTCCCACTCTATCTGAAGATAAATAGAAAAATATCCTCGGGTGAGGATTAAAAAAGAATGGCATTGTTTGAATATCTAGGTTCAGATGTCACCTTAGCAATCATTAATTTAAAAAATTTTTTTTGTTTCTTTGTTTAACTGAATTCAACAAATTCTATGAGCAGCCCTTTGAGCACTGTGTTACGTGTTGGCGAAACCCAGAGCTGCCCTTCAGGATCTTACAGCCTGTTCGGCCACAGGCCAGAGTTTCAGCCAAAGGCCTTGAGCCTTGGGTACTGCTAGACCGGCTGCTTTGTGTTTTAGTGTCTATAAATCCGTGTGTGGACTTGGCTTCATTTTATACTTACATGTAATACCAGAAACAGTATTTTCTGATTATGGATCTAATCTGGCCTAACGTTTACTAGTGTTCTTTGAGTTCTTAGGAAACCTCTACCAACAGTTGAGGTTGCTTTCTAAAAGAAGGGAGAACTCTTTTAGGGAGAATTGTTCCATTTCCTTTTTTCTATTTCAGATACCTGGAGGGGTGGGGAGAAGTAAGAATGTGAGCAGAGCTGCACTACTGGGAAATTCTGTTCATGGTAACGAATCTCCAAATTCTGGTTACCCTCCATTTCTCCTTCCTTTCTTGTACAATGTGGCTCAGACAGCAAGAACATGGGCATGTTTATTGTTTGAGGTCCCAGGGCGCATCCTGTCATAGGTCCTTATGTTTGGGGCCTCAGAGCGAAGTGCCACCTGGAAGGAAGCCAGCAGAGATCCTTCATTAGTAAACTTAAAGCATCTGCAGTTTCAGATAAACAGTTATTGAATATCCAGTGCGTGTAAGGTGTGGAGGGGACACTACAAAGCGCTCGCTCGAACTGGAGAGAGCCGCGTGCCAAACAAAGGTGTCCTTGCTGCGCTTGGCTGAGGACAGCTGTGTACATAACAGCTGGCCCCTGTTCATTTATTTTATTTTACTGTGGAAACATTAATGTTTAAAACATGGAAAAGAACATAGGTTAATTTTTACCCAAAGAGTTTAATAACGTTTGGGTAAGTATTTTCAACCTCAGCACTCCACAACTAGAGGAAAGGATCAAAAGGAATATTTAGGAATGAAATTGTCTAGAAGAGGAAAAGTCTATAGGGAGGATATGGACATAGGCTAGCACATTCGTTTTCTATTGCTGTGTAACAAATTACCACACACTTAGCTGCTTAAGACATCACATGTTTATTATCTGACCCTGTCTGTGAGTTGGAAGTCTGGGTTTAGCTGAACAAGTTCATTTTTGCAAGTAAATCTATTCTTTTGCATTTTTAGTTTGGCGTGGCTGGCGGGAGGGGTGCTGCTTCACACAGGCTCAGCAGGACCTCAGCGCCCCAGGAGGCCAGCCTTGGTTTTGTGGGTTCTGTGCCCCTAACCGGGTGTGTCAGGCAGGATCGGCCTGTGCTTGCCCATAACCCACCAATCCTTCCTGTTCAGATGGTAGATGTGGAAACAGTGTCACAAATCCACGCCCCTGCGATACAATCAGGGTATAGCATCCTGCTCAAATGCTCTTCCCTTGAACATTCTGATGATGAAGGAGATTCGTCCAGTAGTCACGGGGAGGGAACGGGTATGGGTAACAGGCCTCCACAGGGAATTGCCCCAGGAGTCCCCCCAAACTTCTCACCTTCCATGACACGGGGAACAGTTTAGTGTTTAATCAAAATCATGGTTAGAACGTGGGAACTTACACCTGCACATCTGTACAGTCCCTTTTATGCCCTTATTCCCAGTGACCCTAATGTGTGTCGTGACTTGTCAGCAGGCTGTGCCTGGAGGTGGACAGAATCAAAGAAAAGGAAAGAGAGGTGGGAAGGTCTCCACCTTCTCCAGGGGCTCAGAAAAACAGAATTTTCTGGGAGAGAGACCAGAACTTTGCCAGATTCCACTGTATTTGACGCTTTTATAGAGTGTGATATATGTAACCAGCTCACGAAAACCTTCACCTCTGAGGTTTGCTCACCTCTGCTCCCCCTCCGCGAGACCCTGACACCAGACACCATGCACCGGGTCACTTTGGTGAGTGAAACCATCCCTGCCCATGGGGATAGGAAATGCCAGACTCCATGACCTCAAAAGAAAAATAATATCCACCCTCGCAGATGTGTCTTGGAAGTTAGCCCACCTCTAACTACACACAGGTCTCCCTTGAGAACATTTTAACATTATTTCTTAATAGCAATTTATTTGACTTGATCACCCTTACCCCTCCAGGTGTCAAACGACTAGAGACATATGAACTGTCACCACCTTGGGGCACCTCTCTGATGATACTAGAGTGTGAGCTGGAACATGACGAGTTGCAGGGACAGGCAGGAGGCAGGCCCCTCACCCAGGACGGTGGCAGGAGTGAGGGTCCGAGTGCTTTTCATTAATAGACCCTCCATCCTGCCGCAGATATGGAAGGTATATGGGGGACTTGAGCATCCACGGATTTTGGTATTGGCAGGGGGTCCTCCAACCAATGCCCTGAAACCAGACACCCAGGGACAACTTAAGTTTTGGGGGAGTCAAAAATCATACACAAATTTTCAATTTTGAGGCAGGTCGGCACTCCGAACGTCTGCATCATTCAAGGGTCAAGTTTACTATCCTGGCAATAACTTATAAAACAGCTCTCATTTCTTGAGGTTCTGCTTTGGGCTGGACACTGTTCACCATTATATAAGTAGTTACACTATTATCCCTGCTTTACAGATGAAGAAACTGAGCCCTGGACAGTTTGCTCAGTGGTTAGAGCGTCAGCCCGCGGACAAATGAGTCGCAGGTTCAATTCTGGTCAAGAGCATGTACCTCGGTTGCGGTCTATCCCTGACCCTGGTCGGGTCGTACAGGAGACAACCAGTCAATGTGGCTCTATCACATTGATGTTTCTCTCTGTCTCTCCCTCCTTCCCACTCTGTCTAATGATAAATAGAAAAATATTCTCGGGTGAGGAATAACAAAATAAAATAAATGAAGACACACAGAAGGTGAGTTATTTGCTATAAGGACACTAATAATAAGTGGCAGATATAAAACCCAGGTGTGACACAGACCCCATTTCTGCAAGGCCTGTCTAAACAGGTGCCAAACTGGACTCACACTGTGACCCGGCTTGGTAGGCCGAGCAAATGTTAATCTCTGGTGCTCAGAGAAGTCATACAACGAGGACATGGAGAATGTGACCCAAAAGCTTACTCTTTTCTCCTGTCCAGTTCTCGTTCTCTTTCATGCCTGCCCCTCATGTGGCATGGGCTCCAGGACACTTCTGTCCTGCAGAGGACCACACTGAGGACTGTGCCTTTCTGAACTGGGATGTGTCTTAAGCACAAGGAGGGAGGTTTAAAGATAAGCATTTTGCAAGATGGCAAATGGGTGGCAAACAGAGCATCTCCTCTTTGAAGGCTAGCCATCAGCTACTTTGGCCAGTGGCTGGGGACAGTCTGAAGGACAGGTTCAGAACGCTGGAGAAGCAGTACCCACCAAAGTTGCTCCGTGTGCACTTAGGACACTCCGGGTGTGTCACTGACTTTCAGCTCTGATTCCAGTGGCTAGGCTCCTGTCCAGATCCCAACGGGACTATTTCATGGTACCGAATGATGAATCCCACCTGCATTGCAACAATGCATCATGTCTTGAACCACAACATGCTCTTGGCTCTGTTGGATTTCTAAGCACTTTTAGTCCCTTTCCTTAATAAGAATACAACAAACCAAAGTTTAAATAAAGCAGTAACTCGCCTTTATCTTTCTTCTGTTTAATCACACCCAACATGTTAAATATTTCAAAAGGAGCCCACATGAACAATTTTAAACAAGGACGCATGACGGTCACGTGGACTTATCCCTACAGCAGGATGACGATGAGGCCTGACTGTCCTGAAGACAGTGTTCTGTGCCGCAGAGCCGAGCGGCTCCGTCCCTGTAAATCTCCACTGTTCCCCTTGAGAGGGATCTGCACTGACCTCGGGGCACTGACATCCATCAGGCTCCTGCGTAGTAGTTGAGCTTGTCTTAATCACCCAGGGCCTGGGCTCCAAGGTCAGCCCCGGAGCCTTCCAGCTGCTGCAGGAGTGTCCTTTGCTGCAGGGGCCAGAGGAGCTGGAGCGAGGGGCAGAGACCTCAGGTTCCCTTCTCTTGTTTCCTCTCCCAGGGGCTCCAGGAGCCTGTGGGGTCTCCAGACTCAGCTTCTGACCCCTGGATGTGAACACCTTGCTGACAGCCTCCTCCACTGTTATAAACAAACACGCTAAATTGTGAGCCTGTCCAGGAAGGACAAGGTTTTATTGGCTTTTATATCCCTAGTACTTAGCATAGTGCCTGAAGCCCAATATATGTTTGCTGAAGGAACCACTTCAAATACTACTTGGCCATGACCCCATTAACAGATCACACACTCTCTTTCCTGAACACCTGCCACAGATCCAGTTGTAGGAGTCAGTCTAATTGGTGTCATTCCAGTGTTTAACAGTATTCTCTTAACATTTCTTATAGTTTGTATCAGATACAGATCGTTTATGGAATTAGGCCTATTCATTTACTCAGTAACAACAATGATTAGATGTTACAAGCACTGTGCTAGGAACAGAGAATTCAAAGGTGAACATGAAACACCTGTATTAAGCAAAAAGAAAGATCTCACATAAGCAACTTGACTGTACCCCTCAAGGAACTAGAAAAAGAATAAATTGAGCCTAATGGTAGCCAAATGAAGGACATAATAAAGATTAGAGCAGAAATAAATGAAATAGAAACCAGGAAAATAATAGAAAATATCAATGAAGATATTTTCCCATTGGTTTTCAGATAGAGTGAGAGAGAGGAAGGGAGGGAGAGAGAGAAACATCGATGTGTCTCTCTCAGATCAACTGGTTGGGGTCGGGGGTTGAACTGCAACTGAGGCACATACCCTTGACCAGAATCGAACCAGTGACTCTCTGGTCTTCGGGCCAGTGGTCAGGCTAACTACTGAGCCAAACTGGCCAGGACTTGAGTTCTTTACGTTAGGTTTGGGATCTGTTCCTGGGAGATGATGATAAATATCCTGTTCCTTATGGCCTCTTTAAAACAAAATGCAGACAAGGAAGCTGCTAGTGAGGGGCCAGGCCTCCCTGAGCTGTGGGTGCCCAAGAAGGAGAAAGCTGGACATTTGAGGCACCCCTGCAGCAGGCCACCGCCCCTGGGAAGCCATTGCTGGTCACCCTGCTCTGCAGCCCTCCCTGGGCTCTGTGGCTCAGGCAGGCTCATGGTGCAGGAAGGATTTATCAAGCTCCTACTGTGTGCTGGAAACTGCTGAGCTCTGATGATTCAGCCATGCACAGAGCGCCCCATGTGTCCTGAGGTGGAGCTGCCGTTCTAGACAAGGGACATCAGCCAGCAGGGTGTGTCTCATCACCTTTGGAAGGCAGGTAATACTTGACAGAGGCACCCTCACGTCACTGACACCATGGCCCCTTGCCCCCTGCCCTGCCCATCCTACTGCCCAGTGGGGGCATGGGCGGTCACTAACTCCCTAGGCCCTGGGTGCTGCTTGTGGGACAAGGACTCGTCCCCCATCCTGGCCTCCCAAACACACTGTGCTGTGTTTCTGCACCAGGCGGCTGCTACACAGACCTCGGGGTTTCCCCTCATTTAGAGTGAGTGGTACCTGAGCCCGCAGTGATGGAATGCAAGGTGATGCTGTGCTCCACATCCCCCAAATAGCAAGCACCCCACACATGACATGGCCACAGCCAGGGCCTAGGTGGCCTTTGTTGTGTCCCCCAAAAGTGAGGCCACCAACAAAGACATTTTTCCTGCTCACATGGGTGGCTGGGTGAGTCACTGCCACCCGGGGCTTTAGCAGTGGTGGTGGGGCTCAGCTTTAGTCTTGGGTTCATTTCTCCAATGTGGGTACGCACGTAGCACCTCCCCTTCCCCTAACGGAGAAGGTCAATGACAAAAGGGCAGCAGTGACTTCATGGGGTGCCCACTTTCCCAGATAAGAGGCGTAACAGGCAGTGCAGGCTCCTGTGCCTCCCCCTCAGGCCCCAAGACTGTGGCCCTCTCCCCCACTGACCCATCCTAGGCCAGTCGAGGGGAGGTGCTTGTTACCGGGACATCAGGCTGGGCCCAGCTGGAGACTCATTCTGGGAAGAGAGCAGTGATGCTGGACAAATGGATTCAAAGTCATACCCACCTCACAGAGAGGCCCCCTCCCCACTCACCCAGGGACCAGGCCCTTTCACCCCAGCGTGAGGACCCTCAGGTGCAAACACAGCGTTCTCAGTCCCTCCTCCCTGGTGGCAGAGCCTTGTCCTCTTCTGACAAAGTCGAAGATGCCCCAGGACCCACCCCAATATCCACCCCAGATAAGGGTCTTGGTCTTGAAAAGAGTTTGGGGGGAGGGTGTCTCAAGGTCAAATTTACCTTTTCAAAGGTTGCTCTAGGCAGGAGAGAGAGAGAGGATGAGGAGGAGAGCAGAGGTGGTTGGGGACCGGAAAAGCTGGGCTTCCTGGGTGCGGGGCCAAGAGTCACAGTGATCTGGGTT